CCCTTTTTTTTTTCCCCGGGGGGGGGAAAAAAATTGGGAAACTCCGAAATTTTTTAAAAAAAAAAAAAAGGGCCTTTTCTTTCCTTTTTCCCCAAAGGGCCCCCCCAAAAAAGGGGGTTTTTTTTTTGTTGGGGGGAAAAAAATGAAAAAAATGACAAAAATATTGAAAAAATTGCCCCCTTTTTTATTTTCCCCAAAACCCTTTTTTTTGGGGTTTAAAGGGGTTTTTTAAAAAAAAAAAAAAAAAAAAAAAAAAAAAAAAAAAAAAAAAAAAAAAAAAAAAAAAAAAAAAAGGGGGGGGGGGGGGGGGGGGGGGGGGGGGGGGGGGGGGGGGGGGGGGGGGGGGGGGTGTTCCCCCCCAGTGGAAAGTTAAAGGTTTTAAAGGGAGCAGGGAAAGTAACAAATATTTTAAAAAAAACCCCCCCTTAGATTTGAAACCTGAAATTTGAACAAAATGAGAAAAAAATTGGGAAAATTGATCTCGGGTAAATGAAACAAAGTGTAGAAAGATAATTCGTAAAGAGAAAGAAAGAATATTTAAATGAAGAATTAATAAAAGACAAATTTGAGAGTTACGAAAAAGGATGGGAAAGAATGCTTGATTGTAAAAAGAAAGAAAGAAAGAAAGAATTATGTGAAGTGGATGGGGAAAACATGAAATAAATAAATATAGAAAGAGAATTCAACATTATAAAAATTGAAAGAAAGAAAGAAAGAAAGAAAGAAAGAATATTATGTGAAGTGGATGGGGGGAAAGAAGAAATAAAGAAAGAAAGAAAGAGAATTCAACATTATGAAAATTGAAAGGAAAACGTAAAAGAAAGAAAGAAAGAAAAAAGAAAATATTATGAAGTGGGATGGGGGGAAAAAAAGAAATAAAGAAAAGAAAGAAAGAGAATTCAACATTATGAAATTGGAAAAAATGTAAAAGAAAGAAAAGAAAGAAAAGAAAAGAAAGAAAGAATATTAAGTGGATGGATGGGGAAAGAAGAAACAAAGAAAGAAAAAAGAGAATTCAACATTATGAAATTGAAAGGAAAACGTAAAAAAGAAAAGAAAGAAAGAAAGAAAGAATATTATGTGAAGTGGATGGGGGGAAAGAAGAAATAAAGAAAGAAAGAAAAAGAAAGAAAAAAGCTGAAAGGAAAAAGAAAAAAGAAAGAAAAAAAGAAAGAAAAAAGAAAGAAAGAATAGAAGTGGTGATGGGGAAAAAAGAAGAAATAAAGAAAGAAAGAGGAAGAAAGAAGTGAAAGGAAAAAAAAGAAAAGAAAGAAAGAAAGAATATTATGTGAAGTGGATGGGGGGAAAGAAGAAATAAAGAAAGAAAGAAAGAGAATTCAACATTATGAAAATTGAAAGGAAAACGTAAAAGAAAGAAAGAAAGAAAGAAAGAAAGAAAGAAAGAATATTATGTGAAGTGGATGGGGGGAAAAGTAAGAAACAAAAGAAAGAAAGAAAGAGAATTCAACATTATGAAAAATTGAAAGGAAAAAAAGCAAAAAGAAAGAAAAAAAAGAAAAAAGAAAGAAAAGAAAAGAAAGAAAGAAAGAGAATTCAAATATTATGAAAGGAAAAAAGTAAAAGAAAAGAAAAAGAAAGAAAGAAAGAAAAGAAAGAAAGAATATTAAAGGATGGGGAAAAGAAAAAAAGAAAGAAAAGAAAGAGAATTAACATTATGAAAAGAAAAGAAAAAAAGAAAGAAAGAAAGAAAGAAAAGAAAAAAAAAAGAATGTGAAGTGGAAGGGGAAAGTGAAAGAAGAAAGAAAGAAAGAGAATTAACAATTATGAAAATTGAAAGGAAAAAATGTGTAAAAGAAAAAAAGAAAGAAAAGAAAGAATAAGATGAAGTGGATGGGGAAAGAAGAAATAAAGAAAGAAAGAAAAGAGAAGTCAACATTATGAAAATGAAAGGAAAATGAAAAGAAAAGAAAGAAAAGAAAGAAAAGAAAGAAAGAAAAAAGAAAGAAAATTAAAAAAAAAATGGGGGAAAGAAAAGAAATAAAGAAAGAAAGAAAGAGAAAACATCATTATGAAAATTGAAAGGAAAACGTAAAAGAAAAAAAGAAAGAAAGAAAGAATCAACCAATTGTGATTAAAATATCAAAAGAAGAAAACAAAGAAAAGAAAGAAAGAGAATGCAATGAAATGAAAAATTGAAAAAAAATACGTTAAAAAAAGAAAGAAAAGAAAGAAAGAAAGAAAAAAGAAAGAAAGAAATTATGTGAAGTGGATGGGGAAAGAAGAAATAAAAAGATAGAAAGAGAATTCAACAGCAAAAAAAAATTGAAAGGAAAAACGTAAAAGAAAGAAAGAAAAAAGAAAAGAAAAGAAATGAAAAGGGCGGATGGGGGAAAGAAGAAATAAAGAAAGAAAGAAAGAGAATTCAACATTATGAAAATTGAAAGGAAAACGTAAAAGAAAGAAAGAAAGAAAGAAAGAAAAGAAAGAAAGAATATTATGTGAAGTGGATGGGGGGAAAGAAGAAATAAAGAAAGAAAGAAAGAGAATTCAACATTATGAAAATTGAAAGGAAAAATTAAAAAAGAAAGAAAAGAAAGAAAAGAAAAAAAGAAAGAAAGAAAAGAAAGAAAAGAAATTATGCAAGTGAGGGAAAAAAAAATGAAAGGAAGAAAAAAAGAAAAAAACCTATGAAAATTGAAAGGAAAACAGAATCAAAAGAAAGAAAAGAAAGAAAGAAAGAAAGAAAGAAAGAAAGAAAGAAAGAAAGTTATATCAAATGAAAAAAAACAAAAAAACGAGATGAGAGGATGGGAAGAGAAAAAAAGAAGAAAAAAACGAAGATAAAGATGATATCCAGGGAAGGAAAGAATGAAAAAAGTAATTCATTTGAAGAAGAAAGACAAATATATATTCACTGAAAAAAAAGAAAGAAAATTCCTATGAAGAAGAAATAAAAATGATGACGAAAGTAGATTTAAAAGAAAGAATGGCATTCAATGAAAGAATAGATATTTTGAGAAAAAAAATCAAATTCAGGGAATTGAATTGAAATCATTTTGTAACTCTTAGAGAAAAAAAAAAAAGAAAGAAAGAAAAGAAAGAAAAGAAAGAAAGAAAGAATATTATGAATTGTTTAAAAACATGAAAAAGAAAAAAGAAAGAAAGAAAAAAAAAAAAGAAAAGGAAAGAAAATGAACAAAGAAAAGAATATTTAAAATGAAGAATTTCTAAAAAGACACATTTGAAAGTTAATAAAAAGGAAAAAAAAATGTTGATTTAAAAATAAATAAGTAAATAAATAAAGAAAGAAAGAAAGAATGTCTATTATGTGAAGTGGAGGGGGAAACGTGAAATAAAGAAAGAAAGGAAGAGAATTCAACATTATGAAAATTGAAAGGAAAACGTAAAAGAAAGAAAGAAAGAAAGGAAGGAAGGAAGGAAGGAAGGAAGGAAGGAAGGAAGGAAGGAGGACTATTAAGTGAAGTGGAGGGAAAATTTGAACTAAATAAAAAAAGATAGAGAATTCAACATCATGAAAATTGAAAGGAAAACGCGAAAGAAAGAAAGAAAGAAAGAAAGAAAGAAAGAAAGAAAGAAAGAAAGAAGAAAAATAAAGAAAGAAAGATTGAAAGAAAGAAAGAAAGAAAGAAAATAAAGAAAGAAAGAAAAATTATCTGGGACGGAAAACTTGAAAGTAAGAGAATTAAAAATTAAGAAAATTGGAGGGAAAAACATGAATGAAGAAAAATAAGAAACAAATGAACGAAAAAAAAAAATGAACGAAAATTTGAGTGAAAATTTGTAAATTAGGTGAGAAAAGTGGTGTGAAGAAAGAAAGAAAAAAAGAAAGAAAGAAATATAGACTAAAATTATGCAATGTGGAATAGGAAGAAATACCTCAAGATGGACAGAACCAAAAATATGTAAGAAAATTAACAGAAAAATAACAGAAAACCTCCTTAAATAACTAAATAAAAGATGAACGGATGAAGAAAGAAAGAACCTATAAATAAATAGAAGAACTAGACATGAAAAATATCTTTTTAAGACAAAACCAATTTCAAAATCTTGACAGACGCTTGTATGATATAAAGGAAAAAAAGTAAATGTGAAGATGCCAAATAAATTACTTAAAGTGAAAAATATTTATCAAAAAACATGGAAAACAGTAAGAAAAATGATCTGAAATAATATGAAAATGGCCGTTAATTCTTTGGGAATTGTATACAGAGGAAGTGAACCCGAGCAAAGGACGTCGGGATACAGTCAAGATGGTTGCCACTGGAAAGTAACCCGATCATTCAGGCAGATTGTGTTATGTTGCTTTAAATAGGGAAGCGGAGATTAATCGTAATTTAGTTTGTCTGTTTTTTGTTTATTTAATTTAGACAATATTTTTCTTTCCTTTTCTCTTTCAATCTCTTTTGCCATTTTCCCTACTGTCATTTCTACTTTTTACCGGTCTCCTGCACCCGACTCACTAAAAAATTATATTTTATCTTCTCATGTTTCCTGGCTGTCTCTTCGACAAAACGTATCATTTCTATTTATCTTTGTTCTTTTTGTTCCTTTGAATCTATATTTTGTCCTCTCTGTCATATATATATATATATATATATATATATATATATATATATATATATATATATATATATATATATATATATAGTTGTAGCATCTGTCTGTCTGGTTTTTTTTGTTTTTTTTGTTTTTTTTGTTTTTGTTAAAACCCAGGTAGAATTTTTTGGAGATAGGTCCCTATAACCCCATATATTCTGAAACTACATTACCCAGGGTACTTGGATAAGTATATTTCATTTTGATCAAAAGGCTTCGCCGGCGGCACAAGTCCCCCTACCGCACTGATTTTTTTTTTTTCAATTTGATATAAATTAAATTTAAATTGGGAAAAGGGGATGACTCTTGGGGTATTTGGATAAGTATATTTCATTTTGATCAGAGGGGACCCCGGGCGGCACACCAACCCCCACTGATTTTTTTTCCCCTTTTGATTTAAATTAAATTTAATTTTGAATAAGGGAATGACTCCTATCCAAAATATAGAAGGAGAAAGCCAGAAGATGGAGGTCACATCGGCAAGATCATTGAGTAATATTGAGATGCATCTGTTTTCTCCACAAATTATAACAATGATTTAAAATCAATCATCATTTTCTCCGAAAAAAAAAAAACGCGAAGTAAGGGTGGGTAATGCACTTAGTATATATCTAAGATAAATAAATAGAACTTATCACACTGTACATGGAGTGGTGTATAAGCAAAATATAAACACACTCATACACACACACACACACACACGCACACACACACACACACACACACACACACACATATATATATATATATATATATATATATATATATATACACACAGATAGATATATATATAGATAGATAGATATATATATAGAAAATAGAAAAAGAATACATTAAGTAAATAACTGGAGTCCTTTAGTATTTTTATTTTATTTTTAAAAAATTAAATATACAGAAGTCTCCCTAATCTGTATATGTTTAATTAATGCTTGAGCATGAAACAAATTAATACTTTAATTCAATTTAATTTAAAATTATAATGAGGTTTTTAGATCTTCATTTTGAAACATGAGTCTATGGGGCGAAGGAATCATATTTTAAAAATAATTTCCCGTATATTTATATATACAGGATATATTTAAAAATAACCACATGGAATAAAAAATAAAGTAATCATCTGGTGAAAGAAACAGTCTCCAGCTTGTTAGGTTACCCTTAATCCAAGAAGTTTAACAAATGTGAAATTCATTCAACAGTTCCTCTTTCATCATATGTATGGGCTGGTGATGAAGATGTAAATGTGATTAAAACTTGCCTGTTAACTTAACTGTCAGGTACATAGAATAAATCTGCGCACTGATGATGAGTCATCAATTTGCCTGGCCGCCCATATTTTTTAAATTACAAAAGGTTTATGGACAGACCTAAATTATTAATTGTAAAGAGACTCAAGCACCATTTGGACAGCCTATATATATATATATATATATATTATATATATATGTATATTATATATATATATACTTTGCTTGAAAGCCTGTATTTAAATTGTAAAGACTTTATTGGACATTAACGGTAATAATTGTAAAGAGACTTTATGGAAAGTTGCTAGCATGAGGTTAATTGTAAAAGATTTTATGCACAGCAGATATTAATTGTGTGAGACGCCCATGGACATCGTGTGTGTATTTAATTAGGAATTCTTAGTGTATGTTTTATACACGTATAAAAAGTGTTTTTTTTCCAAAGGCCTCTTAAATTTTGTAAAAGTAGACATTATGGACATAACTATATTAACGAAAAAAAGTTATGGAATCCTGTATAATAGAGAAAATACAAGAAGGGGACAATAAAGTATTTTAATCAAGAATGATATTAGATCAAACCATCAAAATTAAATTTAAATTCTTTTCTTGTGCTCTGTCCCTTCAAGTCGCGAACGAAATGGCATTATGGACAAATATATATTAATTTTAAAAGATACATTATGGACCTCCTATATATTTCAACCGTTTATATAAAGAACGACCTAATCCTGAATATTGTTCACTGAGATTTTAGGCGGAAACTTGTATATTAAACGGAAAGACATTATGGACATCCTGTATTAATTTAAGGACGTAGGCGATCATGGCTCTCCCATATCCCTTCTATCCGAGACAGCTCAACAAAGTTCCTTCCTTCTGCTAAAGAGACAGACCACGTTCTGTCATCCATTTGTTAATTAAGTCCGCCAGGGTATGTCACGCGTTTTTTTCCCTTTGAGACTTTTTCCCTTATTCGACCTGTGCGTAAAGGGATTCTCCAGGCCTTCCTTCCTAATTGTGTTGTAAAACTTCATGGACATCCAGATATTAATTGTAAAGAGACTGTTTGCAACCCTTAAAATGTCAATTGTTAAAACGTTCGGTCCATGATATCCCTCAGCGGCCTCTGTAGAACCACATCTCTGTCGCAACCGAGTCCATTCTTTGAGGAAATCGTCCAACAGTCGTTGCCGTAAAAGAGGGACATATGTCACAGATTAGTTCAGTAACTTTTCTTTGTTGTCAAAGATATATTAATGTGTCTCGCAGACTATATTCCGCCTATCATATTTTACGGATCTCTATATAACATCCCAATACTTTACGGGATCGTCAAGACGCTTCCTGTATATTAATTGTAAAGACATTATTCCCGGGTATTTAAAGTGTGCGAGGGACTTTGAGGAAAATATAAAGAAAAATATTGTTAAACATCAAGAACAATGAAAGGGAAATTAAAAAAAAATGCAGAAGATAATGATTAGTATTGTATTTAAATTTTGGAAGATCAATCCTGGACCGGTGTTCTAGGTATGACGATAAACTATGAACATCCTGGGTGTAAGATGATACTACGTCCAACAGAAAGTCCTTCTGGTGAGGAGGTTTTCAGAGCCAAGAATACCTTTAATTTTTATGTTTCAGGTCCACTTTGACCTGGGGACGTACACCTATCATATTATGGGCAAATAGTGAACACCAAATTGGTCAATACATTATGAAAGTGTCAAAATTGGTTTTAATATCCGTAAATCTTTATTTATAAAAAGAGAATTTATGGAAATTTTTAAAAAAATTTAAACCAAACAAAAAAAAATCTTGTTAATTGTAAATTCTCTGAGGTTGAAATGCTATAAACAAAAAGAGAAAAAAACATTCTGACTGAAAATCAAAAATGCAGAAAGTATTTCACAAGTTAGAAATGCGAGAGAAGAAATACAGGGGACCCAAAAAACGGGGAATTTTGAAGGCCTATTGCCAGACATGAGCAGTGGCAACACTGCGAGACAGTGACCTTGAGCAAGCAAACATTTCTGCCATTTAGAATTCAAGATGAAATTCACAGTATTCCAGCTGAGATGCTGCAGAGGACCAACAGCAGATTTCAAGAATGCATTCGTACAGGAGGACGCCATCTACAGGACGTAATTTTAAAAATGAAAATTCCATCAATTTTAAATGGCATGTTTTGTTACTATGAATAAAATATGAATCCATTACCTTTTTCTTCCATTACCTGTTTTGGTTTTATTGATTGTTAAAACCATTTCAACTGTCAACCATGAGTTTTTTTGTGTCATCCTGTATTAGCAGAGAAGATAAAAATCTAGAACAATTTCAACGTCAAATCATGAGACCCATCGCCAAAAGACACTATGTACTAGTGATAAATCTAGAACAATTACCATATAGGAAAATATGATCGAAAGACAGGAGGAATGAACAAGGAGAGGGAAAGTAAGACCTGCCAGGATAAGACCTACTATAAAGCCAAGCTTCTTCGGATTTTATCTAGCATCTCTAAATATACAGCAGGGGTACCAGACTATGGGTGGCAGCAATATTCTAAACACTTGTAAACTTATAAATATATAAGATAGATTCGGGCGAGAAAAAAATTTTCTCTCACGACACAGAAAACCAACATTCTTAGAAGCAAAGCTGAAGAATTGATTCGATATAATCTTTCGTTTCATGTCGGGAAAAGATTGAGAAAAGGCGTAATGAATCACTTTACCTTGAGGTTAAATATCACCATGATGATGGATGGCAGAAAAGGTTTCTCTCAAATGATTTTTCTTAATTTACAGGGTACGATGGGTAAATTGTCACCATTTTATATTTTAATTTCACGCATGCTTTGTTTTTTGTTTTTTTTTTTGTTTTTTTTATTTTGTCGACTGCACAGTATAGCTGGTGAGTCGGACACTGTTTACGAGAAAAAGAACACCATGAGAGCAATTCTCTCCGACAGAAATTTGGAAACGATATGCTGTATTGCTTGGCATTCGTATCTGAAGCTCCAATACGAATATTCCATCGATTTTGGGTGTCAGTCTGAGGACAGTGCATGCCAGATAGCATTGACATGGAGTGGAAGTAACAATAGATGTGTTAGATGATAAAAGATTAAACAAGATCAATAATATTCTATTGTGCCATTCTTGCACTTAATCCAGGTTTAAACCTACTTCTGTGTCGACATTTGGAAACTAACTCATTCCTTTGGTTTACTAGTATACTTTGATTATTGAATTTTATTATTTTAATCTTCCCTTCTAAACATAGGTTACATTTGCCCTTAAAATTATTAGGAGTGTAAGCAGAACCTATAATTTTCCAGTCAATTTGCTTGTTAAAATCTTTATAACTCAATTCCGAAAAGTTTTGGGAAAGAGCAGATTGGTATTTTAATTTTGCGGTTGGAAAAATAGTGTCCATGGGTGTAATAAGTCTTCCAATGGAAATATGAATTCTCAGTTCTATTAAAAACATTCTGGGAATCGAAGCTTGGCCGAAAATGGGTTCTGCAACAAGACAATGACCCTAAGCCTGCCAGCAAACTCTCAAAGAATGGCTTAAAAGGAAGAGGATTCGTACTCTGGATTGGTCGAGTCAAAAAACCAGTTTTCAATCCAATAGAAATTTTGTTAGACATGAAGTTGGTGGTTCATACGAAATGACCCTTCAACCTCACTCGACAGGCTGAGTTTTGCAAGGGGGGATTGGGCAGAAATCCCCAACAGCATTTGCGAGTGTTCACAGAAGACGTTTACTTGAAGTAATCGCTGCTAAAAAAAAAAGGTTCTACAGGACACTAACTAAAAGAATTAACGTTCTTTTTGCACATACCAAATTTTCAGTTCTGGTAAAATAAATCCATTTTTTAATAAATAATAAAATATGTTTTTTTGTTTGTGTTCCTTATTTGGAAAGTCTACTTTAGAAATCTTTGTTTGGATGCATATTTAATAAGCTTATTTTAAATTTATTCACAATGATCATGTCTGTGTGATTTCATAAAGTTTCAAGCGGCAGTGTGTATAAACCATTATTTAAGTTTCTGTGGTTTCAAAAAACCAAACGTCATCATGGACAAAATAATATGCAAGAACGTTTCTGAATTTCCAAGGCGGAAAACATTCTCTTCTTAAACATGCCTAATGGTTGTTTTAATATATATATATATATATATATATATATATATATATATATATAGTTATACTCCTTTTGAAAGACCTTAGGTATTTTGGCTTGTAATTGAACAAACCAATGTCCAAGAGAAAATATGGGATAAAAAAGAAAGAACTAAGTCCATGAAATTGAGGCGAAAACAATCGTCCAGAATTCAAGCTCAGAGTCCAAAACAAATAACCTCCAAAACGAATAAAGCATAAGTAACTACGTAAAGTGCTCAATACGCTAAGTAGAGCAAACCTAAATATGAACCTAAAGAGCCACGTAAACCTACCTAGGTTTTCAATTATACGTATCGTCAGAGTCAACTGGCCAATTTACCTTGACGATCCGTATAGGTGAAAACCTAGGTTAAATTTATATATATATATTATGGGTTATATATATATATATATATATATATATATATATAGTTAATTTAAGGCACCTCAGCGTGGTGTTATGGTTAGCAAGCTTGTCTAACTAAAAAAGATTACTTGAGAGTGATTTGACCCTCACTTGGTGCCCTGTTTTTTTGTCCTTAGGGCACATCTAAGCTATGCTTAGAAAATCAGTATATGGTCAAGTTTTACATGCACTTGAATCAAATATGCAATTCCAGTCGATCCGAATTTTCTAGAGTCACCAAACGTTTTTCAAATTTACTTCAAGTATGAACATACATCGGTCATATGCGTCTGTTACCATGACACTAAGATACCAATTTGTATGAGGATGCATCGAACAATAGTAATAACATTTGCCTGATTTCAGCAAGAAGCCACTAATTCAAGGCAAACAATGAGAGTGTCTTTCTAAACATTTCTTAACTATCCGTTTGTAAGACACACAAACGCAATTCACAATATGCATTAAAGATCGAATACGTGGAACTAGTTTGTAATTGTTCTAATCTACCTATGGTAAAATCGATTATGAAATATGACTGACCAGCAAATGTGAAAAATAATTAAATATCTTCAACTATTAATAGCTTTTTCTGTATATATTCGAGTCTCATTTATCCATTATTCCCCATTATATATAATACGTATTGATCCATAATACGTACATCTAAAATTGTGCTGAAAGTGTGGGAAAATGCTTTTACTCACGCATAAGACGCACGCCTTGTTTGATAATAAAGCCCTAAACGTTGTACTTTTCCAATTTCATTACGATCAGCCAATCCTTTTTTTTTTTTTTTTTAAATGTTTTAAACATAGAATAATATTATTACAATTTAGTTTTATGATAATTCATATTTTATTTTACGGCAATTTTAAAGATTTTTTGTAGCTGTTGCATAATACGCACTCCTGATTTTGCTCATTAGTTTTTGAAATACGTGTTAGAAATGGGGAATTATTTCAAATTCTTGTATATTATGGCGTATTTCATTTAAACATGTAAAAATACAAGAAAAACTACACCGTAAAAAGTTAAGTGTTATGGATTCCGGGGATGGAATCCGGCACAAATAAATAACAACGCCAGTAATGGAAATAGGAAAATATGTGTATTAACGTAAGAATACAAAGTGAAATGAAGATTAGTAGTCCAGGAATGCGGGTTAGTAGAAAAGTATATTTACAAGTCTCTGTAATTAAGCCGTAATTATCTCTCTTTCTGACTCTCGTAACTCTGAGTGAACACCCTGTGTCGACCTCTTTGTCACGCTATCTCTCCGTAGTATAAGTATACCTTGAACGCGTCCATACTGTGTACATGGGGCGAACACCACAATATTAAGAGAAAGATGAGCGGAAACAAAGCGTCATTATACAGCCCATGTTTAATGCCACTGACATCCAGATGTTTCAGTGCGTTTAAAAATTGCGTGCAGATGAGAAAAGTAGGGATGAAGTAAATTGCCAAAATTAAATCCTACCTTAACAATATATGTCTCATCATGTTGTCTGTTGTGCCGTTTCGAAAAGGAAAGATACTCATCCGCACGCTTTTATCAGGGAATTTAAATATTAAGGAAGACTTAGTTTAACGAGGGATCACAGTGACAAAATTTTTAAGTCCCTTCGGCATTTCACCATTTGGAGAGGTTTCAGGTGCCAGGAAATGAAGGGTATTGAGCGTTTCGACTCCTGGCGCATGAGCAGATTATTTTAAATGCATTTTTTTACTTATATTTCAGTAAGTGAATTGAGTTCTATTCCAAACATGATTTTTTAAAAATTTCGGCGCAGCCTTTATAAGTTCGTCACTCTTTTTTTATTTTATCCATGGGCGTATGTGACTGTTATTACTTTAACGAGATTAACTTTCCTCAAGATGTCACAGCTTGCTACTCAAATGACACATTTGTTTCTTATTACACTTTAAAATATCTATATCTATTTCCTTGCATGTTTTAATCTTGCCCTTATGTCAATTGCTGTTTTGTTTGGTCTCTAATCTTTTTGAGTCCTTTAAATTGTCCTAGCGTGGATCGACTTCATTCAATAAAAACTAAAATATTTTTTGTTTCTTTTCGACGGTATATCTTTAAATGTCCCAAGAATATCTTTTATATATAAATCTTTAACCAAGTTCAAACCAAGTAAAGGTAGTAAAGCCACTAAGACACAAGGGGTTACTGGGTGAAAAATGAAAAAAAAAAACAGGGAAATATAGCTAAGGAGCGAGAACAAAAGAAGAGTAATCAGGAGGAGAGTTGATATCGATTGATATTTCTTTTAAGTTCTGAAGATTAAAGTTGACTGGAAAGCGTAGAATCGCAAGAGATTTCCACAAACAAGAAGTACGAGACAAGAAAAATGTTAACATCAGCTACATCTAGCCAACTCACAGGCAAACTGGTGACACCCCCTATTCTAGTATTTTGTTTAAATATATAACATGTATATACAATAATCGAAGAGCTTTTCAGAAAATGTACCATTAGATATTTATAAGAAGGGACTGATAAAATGTACTAAGAAATTCCAAACAGCACACATTACCTATAAATCTATGCTACGATGATTAATTGGCGACAAGATGTGAGAAGGGTATAGAGAACACTAAGCATTTAAATAGTCAATCATAGAAAAAAAGAGGAATATAGTTTTAAAAAGAAGGTTGCGTAGGAAAAATATAATACTAAAAAAAAATACAAACCCGCAGATCTCAGAATACGTAGGGGAGGATCGAACCACGTTATGGTGAATTAGATGAAACAATAGGGTTTAGTAAACTCTGTACACCCATTCTCCAGCTCAGATCTTTTATTAAAACATCGTACGTCGCTATTCAGTTCTAATACAGCCAAGTTTTCCAAAACCATATGCTACACTTGTTCCGGCTAATTTCTACTGCTTGATCTCTTTAAGACCTCACCAACGGATTTTAAAATGACCTTCCTATGTATCAGTGACCTAACATAAATATGGTTCTACAGAAGGATGGGGGGGAATACCTCCGTCTGAATAATATGAGCAACAACGGAGTTGTTGGTGAAAATGGAAACAAAATTTTCACTTATAATTAACATAAGAAAGAAGCATTTAAAATTTCAAAGGAAACATAAAGAGAAAAGAGGGTTTAGAAAAGTTGACACTCACAAGATCTATTGAATGCAAGAGGAAACAGAGAAACTACAACTAACATAAATATGGTTCTACAGAAGGATCTTTGGGAATACTTTCGTCTGAACATATGAGCAACAACGAAGTTGTTGGTTAAAATGGAACCAAAAATTACACTTATAATTAACATAAGAAAGAGGCATTTGAAATTTCTAGGACACATAACGAGGAAAGATGGTTTAGAAAAAGATGATTTTCACATGACCTATTGAATGTAAGAGGGACAGAGGAACCACAGAACGAGCTTTGTGTAACTAATTGATTGATTGGTTAATTTGTTTAGCGGCATGTTAATGCCGAATTTTAATTTTCTTGAAAGCTTTGAAGTAATAAAAATATGTATTGTTCTGCTTTCACAATTGAATACAGGGTAGATGATACTCAGATTTTGTGCATGCACATATTTGCGTTGACGTAATTACTTGAGGCGGTGATATATGGATTTTATATTGTGTTTTTTTTATATATATATATTTTATATTTTAAGATACAGTTCCACTTCTTTAGAAATACTAGGATATTATATAGATGAATGTCATGAAGAGTAAGTTCAGATTGTGATATGTTCCGGGAAGGGATATATTTGATCGAAGTAGCCAATGGTTTAGGCTACTGTAACTCGTGTACAACAATCTAGCAGGTAGCCGTAATTGAACTGGTACTCGTCGTAGTCGCAGTCGCAGTCATATTAGGTATAGGCAATAGGTGTAGATCAATCACCACAGAGATCCTTCCTTCCCTCCATTAGAATGTCTGACGCTCAACTTCTCGAGAGCAACTCTCTGAAATTTCTCGGTCTCACGTTGACTGCTGACCTGAGATGAAATAAATACATTGAGTCAATTGCCTTCGTCCACTGCAAGGAAAGTTGGCTCCCTGAGCCGCGCCAGGAAGTTTTTCTCCCCGGAGTCGATCCTCCAGATCTACAAATCAACAATTCGCCCTTGCTGCCATATATGGTCTGGTGCCCTTCTGTTTGCCTCGGGGTT